CCCCGACCCCGCCCCGGGTTGAAACTCCCCGCCCCATCCCCGCCCCCATACCCGATTAAGCGGGTAATTTCCTCCCCGTTCGGGGCGGGTCCCCGCGGGTATCGGGTTTAATGGGGATTTTTGCCATCCCTAAAGTTGATCTCCAAAATAGGTCAAGACGAGCCAATTATCTACTCCCTCGCCGACAAGGTCATTCACTCGGTCCACGGAGAGTGATAATATTATTAAGAATGAAAAACGATCAATGCAATGCCAACCAAATTCGAGGGTGCGCTCCCAAAATCGTGGCAAGCTTCTTGCAAAATCTCTCCACTATTTCATTACAATAAATTTCTAGATTCCATCCAATAAATCTATATTTTTCCAAGCTTATAACGAAACGACACAACTTAAATAGAGCCATTTCTCTTCACACTTTGACATTTCATTACAATTCTTCTCATCATTGTTCACAGAGCTAGACCGGCCGTCGGTATTGACGTAGTAAAATATTGATTAAAGAGGGACACCTTTGATTAATTATAAATTCTACGTGTGACAACATATTAGTCACCGGTGGAACCCTTATTTGAGTTTTTGTATTAAAAAAACCAATAGATCATATTAAAACTAATAGAATAAATAATGCTTCTGGACATAAAGAGGCCAAACACATAAATCCAACTGCATATGTTCCGTAACGGTGTTTTTTTGTGACAGATTTATTTGGGATCACTAGTAAATATTCACAAGACTAATATTTGTTTCATACTATAATAGAATATTCCTTGGTAAGTATTTCTTTTTATGGAAAATAAAATCAGGTAGGCAGTGCTTGTGAAAACTTTAATGTTGCAATAATTTCATTTACTCTCAAGATTTTCTGAAGCTATCAAAGAAATCTTGTGTTAGTTTTGTAATGGGATAAAAAGTTTAGAGTCGACTATATGAATCCTTCACGACTCAATTCTCAAGTCTTTGATTGTTTATAAAGTACTGAAATATTCAGAATATGTCGTTTTTCATGACTCCATTCTGAGGTCTTTGATTGTTTATCAAAGAAAGTTCCATTTCTTTGATCTCATCTTGTCATTCCTTCCCTTGGAGAGAGAGAGAAATGAGAACTACTAAGAACTTAAAATTAACCATTTCCAAGATGGATGTTCCAAATTTTCATGGCCATGGGATGAAAAATCAAGAATGATTAATTATAGGAATGTCCATCAAGATTTTATCCACATGTCCCTCCTATAACAACCGGGAGGCTGTTTTTGTATTCTTTTATTACAAGACATTAATTTCCCCACCGATTCTGGAACAACTAGAAAACACCAAAACATGTATTGATTACAATAATTTAGTTGTAATGCAACCTAACTACTTTCATTATTTAAACATGCCCAATGCATTTGGTATACTTGCATTCAATGAAAAGCATGGATTTTTCCTACAAAAATGTGAGTTTTCTTGTAGTATTCTTGATTGCTGCTCACTTTTTTCAGCTATGTTGTGCTGATCCTACAGATGGGTTCACCAATGTGCCATTAACAGAAGAAAATTTCGAAATCCAAAGGCCATATGATATACCCCTTGAAGAGAGATACAGCTTCGTAAATGGAACTCATCGGCTATGGGTTTATGCAGACGATAAGCCACACGATCCCAACAGCCACACACAGCCACGAACAGAAGTCAGGATACGTGTAAGAATTCACGTATTGTTTTCTTCTATTGGTACCGGCCTCATAAGAGCACTAACACGTAATCTCAACTATTAGTTAATTCAGTAACGGATATAAATAAGAACTTTTAATGTTTCAATTCAGAGAAGTGTTCTATTACGTTCTTATGAAGGTCAATATTACCTTAGATGGAGTACACATGTTACATAAGACGTTAAGATGGAGTACACATGTTACATAAGACGTTATTTCGTGCTATGATTTCACTATGAGTTACATCTTTCCTTGGCAGGGCCTTGATTACTATTCTGGTGTATGGCAATTTGAAGGCCATGCCTTTGTGCCAAATGGAACTTCTGGTGCCACAATTTTGCAAATTCATGGTGCATCCCATGGGGCGACAACGATAATATTAAGAATCTACAATGGAGACATGAGATACTACAGCGGTCAAGTGGTGGCAACGGACCTGTACGATAAATGGTTTCGGGTTAATCTGATACACGACGTCAATGGAGGGAAGTTGACATTATTTCTTGATGGTGTAGAGAAGTTTGAGACGAAAGATCAAGGGCCAGGGGACTTATATTTCAAGTGTGGAGTTTATGCTGCACCAGCAAATATCAGTTACTATATGGAATCAAGGTGGAGAGATATCAAAATATACAAGAAGTGCTACTAAATCAAATCACATTTGAAGCAATGATCAATTTCACAGCTCTACTTTGTTGTTAAATCAAGGGTAGCTATACAAGTCGAGATAAAATCTTCGCTGTCTAAACAAATACATATCCGTTGAACAACTGTGTCTCAAAGTTTAAGGTTTTAGAGTGATTATATTTCCTCTTCTAAACTCTCCCTCACGTGCATGAAATTTTCTAAAATGAGTGTAGACGAGACTTTAATGCAGGACACTGTGAACGCGACACACGATGCAACCGATGAACAAGCATTCAGATAATGTTGCAAAAATGAATAAAGATTTTTGTCCTTAAAATCATCATCACAATTACAACTGCAAATGAAGAAATAAATCCCCACCAAAGGCCAAACAAACAAAAGAAAAACAAAAAAACTTTTATTGTTTCATTCTCTCTTTTACTGTAAACGAGTTCGAGACATTAATGAAAAGAAATACTACATTACAAAAATACAAACAACCGAAAAAACAAATCAAGTAATAGGAACTATATTCTGTCTCATAATCTGTTGTCTGAAAACACAAATAAGAATCACAAGGTAGGCAGCACAATCTTCCAATCTGAGTGAAAATGCGTTGCAGTGGATATGGATCGTCATCTTTTTCTAAAGGTGATAGTTGTAATGGTACCTTGGGAGGTAGATGCTGGCGGAATGCATTGACTGCAGCTCCTACACCATCCTCATTCTCGATTAACGCTGCTATTTCCGTTGCTCGAGATTTCACCTGCCAGAAAAGGTTCACAATATTAATCTAGCAATGCAATAACATTATTGTTTTTCTTATTAAGGGGACAAAGTGTTGTTGTAGAGCATGTGCGGAGTCCGTATGCCGGTCGACCTTTCATCAATTAAATAGGTCGATTAAATAGTGTTTTTCTTATTAAGAGGTCTGTAAATATTGTATTTTCTTAATGAGATTTTATTGCTCTAGGCGGCATAAAATTAGGGCTTCTAATTCTCAACATAGTTTCAATTTTATACAGGCGACATTGCAGTAGCTCTTCTTCTTCTTCTTCTTCATCAGAGGCTTACTTAAACAGAATCCTAATTTCTAGTGACCTCAAAAACTACTTGCAAAAATGAATTTTGCTATCTGTACAGAGAGCATTACAGGTGCACGCGTGGCATGCATCTGTCATGCTGCCTGTACAGATCCCCTGTACAGGTAGCATTTCTCTGCAAAAATTTGGTATGCGTTGACATTTATGGCACAAGATAAATGGCAATCAGATCTTTACCTCTGGCTGGAGCATGAACCTTATTGCTTCTGAAAGAGCTTCAACACTGAACTGAGATATACGAATCAGAGTAGGTCCCAGCCCTCTCTGATGAATTCTCTCTCCCAGAAAAACTGATCTCCAAAGAATGGAACTATAGTTGTTGGACACCGCATTGAATAAAGCAGGCCGAGATTTAATATCAATTGAAGTAATTCAGTCATTCAATTCACCTCTTATCACTCAATAACCATTCCCCAATAATTATGTATGCGCCAAGAGCAAAAAATGTGAAGGAAATTACCCAAGCTTTTAGTCCTGCCGCTGTAGTTCCAGCACCACCATGATGAACCTGCACAAATGTATTCCCGATCCCAGTGAGCAACTGAAGTGAACATTGAGGCTCACGGTCTCAAAGATTGATAGTCTTGTCGGCGCTGTCTAACTCTGTCGTACCACAACTGATAGTCTCTCAACCAAAAAACTAATAGACGTGATAAAATGTACTGGCTAACCTGTTAGAAATATGACTAGTTGCAATACAGTAAAGTGCAGAAATAAAAACTTATCGATTGATCGACTCTCGTGACAGCACGATGTTCTAAAGCAAAATTACACGTCGATAACTGCTACGACCTCTGTGGACAATCACCTCCAGGATACAACGATCAAATAAACCAAATGTGCAGCAATCACAAAAGGTTTTCAGAACTCTCAAGTGTACTCCAAAAATATGNACTCTCAAGTGTATTTCAGAAAATACGTAAAATAGAGTATAATATTTTTCTGAATTGGAAGATACAATTTCGTTTTTGTTATATGTTTCTAATGCCCAGATGTTTGTTTATATGGGTAGAAAAATGATGTAACTGCCTCCACTATAATCCAATATTATTTGCAATTTTTATGGCTAGTGGTAATGAGTTGCTAATACTGGACAGTTAAAAACTGTC